CTTTCAAATAATTCTTTAAGGTCAAACCAATGGTACCATTTTATGGTCCCTTCGAAACCAAACAACTTTTGTCTGAAAAATTTTTCTTTCCCGGGCTTGATTTTCGAGATATTCGACTGGATGTATTAAAATGGTCCACCCTGTATAATAAATAAAATACAGAAATGTCCTATCATCACAAATCTGGTTCGCAAAAGCGAAAAGATCGTGAACAGAGAAATTTAATTGCAAAAAGAAGACAGGCAACTCTTACTAATTTTAATTTTCACCCTAAGAAAAGTTCAGATGCCAGTGGAAATCATGATTCGACTGAAAGGCGAGTTGTTAGTCAGTTGTTTCCGTGTTTCTTCGTCCGCAACAACTGAATCTGATTGTAACCAAGTAAACCAAGCTGAACAGTTTGTTACTTCTGTTTCGCCACTTTCATCTAATCTGATGCAGAAAAATCTGCTTGTAGAAACTGACGTAAATTTTGCTGCAACGATTCAAAGAGCCACATCCACAGAACGCGAATCAGAAGTGCAATCGACATCCCAATTTTACTTGACTAAGCATCTTCACGACTATGATATTGGTACTATAGAATCTGATTTTTTACTTCCACAACTGATTGATGAAATGATTCGCAGAGGCCATGAAAAAATGCCTTCTGCCTTTCCTCGTAATCGATTGAACGAACGGTTTCCTGTATCGCTGTTGTTCAAAAACTTGCCTAATGGCGAAAAGGTGGAACGCGATTGGTTAGTTTGGAGCCGCAGTAAAGCTGCTTTCTTTTGCCTTCTGTGTCGGTTATTTAGTATAAATACAGTGAAGCGTTCTTATCTTTGTTCTCCGGGCGGATATTCGAAAAACTTGGCGTGGAAGAAAGTGTATGAAAAACTGCAATCACATGAGAATAATAAAGATCACATTCAGTGTTATGTGAAGTGGCGTGGACTGGAAATGAGTATTCAAAATGAATCTTTAATTGACAAGCTGTTATGTGAACAAATCAAAGGGGAAGTTAAGAAATGGCAAGAAATTTTAACACATATTTTAGATGTAATTTTGTTTCTGGGAGAAAGAGGTTTAGCACTGAGAGGGGAAAGCCATCTTGTTGGAAAACAAAACAACGGAAATTTTTTGGGAATTCTAGAATTGATTAGCCATTACGATCCGGTATTACGCGAGCATTTGGAAAAAGTGAAGACGTCCCAACAGCTGCACCAGCGTCTGCAATGCCACTATCTTTCGCCGGACATACAAAACGAATTTATAGATCTCTGTGCTCGTCATGTGGTACCATATTAAAAGAACGAGAAAAGGCAAAATATTATTTCTTAATTGTCAACGCCACACCCGATTCTGCTCACGTTGAACAAACTACTTTCATTTTACGCTATCTTCATTTAAATCCAGAAGAAAAAAATATACAATTGAAGAACGTTTTTTAGAATTTGTTGATTGTAATAAGAAAACTGGTGCGGCTATTGCTGATTTGATACGTGACACTTTAAAAAAACATAACATTCCTTTGACTGAATGCCGCGGACAAGATTACGATAATGGTAGCAATATGAAAGTGAATATAAAGGAGCACAAAGCTACATTCTTTGAGATAATTCGCTTGCTGTTTATTCATCCTGTTCCGGCCACAGTTTGAATCTATATGGAGTAGATTTTGCCGAATGTTGTTCCAAAGCTATTACGTTTTTCGGAGTCGTTCATCTAAAGTGCTACACCATTTTCAGCAGCAGTCCGCAGCGTTGGGAGATTTTAAAAAATAAAATTGAATCTTCACTTCACAGTTTATCCGAGACGCGATGGTCCGCCAGAATTGACGCTGTGAAACCTTTTGCAAATCATCCTGGACTTCAGAGTGCGTTAGAAGATTTAAAAACACTCAATTTGACCGCGGAAACTCGTAGAGATGTTAATGGAATCTAAAAATACCTTAGTAAATTTGAATGTATTTTAATGGCATCTATGTGGTCAAAAATTCTAATTGCCATCAATGAAAGAAGCACCGTTCTACAGGCTAGAAACACTACAATCGACGTCGAAGTTGAAAATCTTGAGAGTTTACTTTCGGCAGCAAATACGAAATCAATGGGATACCATTTTATGCGAATGTAAACTAGTCGCAAGTGGATTAAAGAATACTTCGTCAACATTACCTGTGAGTAGAAGAAAAAATAAACGAGCTAAAACATTTTCCGAAAGTGAGGATGAAGATTCCAGTAATTCCACCAGTATTACAATTACTGACGAAGATTTTAAAAGAAATACTTTTTATGTAATTGTAGATTCAGTTATTGCAGGAATTTCTAATCGTTTTACTGCAATGAATGATTTAAATAACACGTTTTCTTTTTTGTGGAAATTTACAACATTAGATGAAGAGAACATTCGGATCGATGTTAGCAATTATGTTAAGAAATACGCTGTTGATGTGTCTAAAGAATTAATAGATGAAATAATCCATTTAAAACATATTTACGAAGCAAACTTTGAAGCCGGTCTCTCTCCGTTTGATTTGTTAAACGCTATTACTTCTAATAAGTTAGATACACTGTTTTCAAATATTTGTGTAGCTTTACGAATATTTTGTACTCTGCCAGTTTCTGTTGCTAGTGGTAAGCGTTCTTTTAACGTGCTGTCCAGGATTAAAAATTTTCATCGCTCCTGTTCTACACAAACGCGTGTAACAGGATTAGGCACTATTTGCCTAGAATCGACATTGGCAAGGCAGTTAGATTTTGAAATATTAATTAATGCTTTTGCATCGGCTAAAGCATGGAAAGCGCCTTTATGTTAATCACTTTACATTTATAACCTAAGTTTAATTTCATAATATACGTACGTACATAAAAAATAATATAAAGCATAATTATATTACATTCTTGCAAAAAATGTGTTCTTGCAAATATCTGGCAAATCTATAAAATAAAATAAAAAACGAAAGAATCTTGCAAGCATGTTGAAGATATTTAGTTAATCTTTCCTTCCCTGCATTCTTTTCTTATTTAGATTAGTTTCAAAATTCTAAATCTGCCGCTCCTGGTTAAGAATAATACCTACGCAAAATGGGGGCCCGTAATTTTCTTCTCCCGGGCCCGGGTTTTTCTCTCCACGGCCCTGGCTATCGCGCGATAAATCTTGCATTTCGGCAACGCATGCACAGCAGCGAGCGGAAATGCAAGAATGCAAGCTCGCGAATTCCTCGCGAGCGAGCGCAAATCAAGGTCGCATGGGAAGACGACACCTGACTTCCCATGCCCAAATATGGTCCGATCACGGACCATTGCGAGGTGAAATAGGATACCAGGAAAATCCTATATAAGGGGCTGCCTAATCGCGCGCCCGGCAGAATTCGATTGAGAGAGTAAAACCGACGTTACGCGCCGCGATCAAGTTGCACGACACCGAGTGCCGGCAAGACAGCCGCGACGCGAACGTGAACATATACGTAGTCACGACCTTAGTGGTGAAACGGG